AGGGGGGAGCCCTCCTCCCACCGACGCCAGAGAGATTGGGGTGGTAGGGGGTGGATTGTGCTTGGCGCTGAGGGGCTGCTCACGAGCTCCTGGTGCTGGGAGCCCTCCCACTCCACCTGCAATTTTGGCCCCAACCTGGACCACATTGGCCGCAGGATAAAGGGGAGTGTGGGAGGAAGAGGAGGAGGAAGAGGAAGAGGATGAGGAGGAGGAAGGCGGAGCGGAAGGGGCAGCAACAGCAGAGGAGGAGGAAGAGGAGGAGGAGGCAGGTGTCTGTGGGGCCTGAGCCTGGAAAATGCGTGAGGCCTGGCCCTCCAGCTGGGAATGGTAACTCCCTGCGGGGGCTCCCTGGGGGTGCACCTCGCCCGGGAGCCCAAAGCTGGGCTCTGGCGGGCGGGCCAGGCTGTCGGGAGGGGCAGCTCCCGGCGGGCTCTCGGGGAACAGCGGGGGGTGGTGGTAGGAGTGAGACGGCCCCTGGGACAGCACGGAAGAGGAGTCGGAGTCGTTCTCCACGCTCCCAGGGCTGTAGACACTGGGAGAGGTGCTCCTGTTATCCTGGTCGATGTCCCGTGGGTCGCTGCTCATTTCATCATTGAAGCTGTGGCCGTCAAGGCTGTCAACATCGGATGGGGATGGAGGACAGGGCAACTCCTGAAGTAGGAAGGAGGAGGAAAGGGGCATTATGAGGCCTCCCAGACCATAATGACACACTTCAAGTCCCCAGAGAACTTGTTTTCTGACCTTTCTCTGTCAACCCCAGCACTAGAAAACCTCACAGAGTAAAGGAGACATTGTCTGGCAAGGTACACATAACAGCAGTCCTCCTGCCTCATTTCCAGTGCTCTCAGGTCCTTCATGAGCATTCCATGTTCAGGAAGGAGGTAACAATGGGTACCTTGTGTAAAGAGGCAGTGAGGGAGGGCAGGAACTGTTACACACAAGGCTGAGAGGGAACAGATACAACCTGGGCGATGGGCTGTTGGCCAGGACATGGTATAACCAGTGGCATGGAGCCGCACATGCCACAGTGTGCTGTGCCAGCACAGACCCCAGACCCAGAATTGCTCTTCTTGCCCCTGCAGAGCTCTCCCTGCTCACGGAGACCAGCTCCCTCCCAGACCCCTCTCACTGTTCCACTCCTTACTTCCAGGAGTTCCCCCTGTGCTTCCCAAGCCCTGCTCCTCTCCACCACCTGCTGCCTCAGACAATGTGCACTGGTGATTAGCAGTCATCATGGGTGAGGGGAACTAACAAGTGCCACTCTAAGCAAGGGAGACTAAGCTGAAAAAATACCACTGCTGAGCTGAACAGACTGTCCACGTGGAAAAATTACAGAAGTGGAACCAAGGTGGTTGAATTATAAGAACCTCTTAACACAAGCAAGCATCCCCATGTTTGCAGGCCTTTAAGGGCAGTTCCCTGAACAGGCTAACAGGGAATGGAGAAGCACAAGAGCTGAGTCTTCCAACCACCCAACCACCAATCCAGCCTGGTGCTGTCAGTGTTTGGAAGAGCCCTGCCACAGCTCTGTGTGTGCATGAGCAGGTGTTGCATGACTGTCACCTGGAACCCACCATGACTTAAGCACCTCCATGTCACACTGTGCTGGGGATCAGAAGGGACTGACTCCAGCCCAACCTGCGGCTGTGCACGGAGCCAGGCTCTTAGCACTAAGCTAGAAAAGGCAGGGCACATCCCCAGCTCCAACAGCATAGCAGCCCCCTGAACACAAGGCAAATGAGACAGAGAGCCTCCATGTGCTCAGTCATCACTCACTCCTGGTACCATTTTTGTAGATGCCATTTAGGTTGGAAGAGCTGCAGTGGAAAACCCCCGAGGTGTCAGGGCTCCCAAGCAGCCAGAACCTCGAGCAGCACAGACAGGAAACTGCAGACTCCTTTGCTCTGGACTGGGCACATGCCAGCAGTCACAGCAGGGAGAGCTCACCTCAGTTTTGGTTTTTTTGGGAGCGTTGGTGTCCTCCCCTTCACTCTCTGAGATCTCTTCTGTTCGGCCCTGCTTGCTGCTCTTGGGGGTGCAGGATTCCTCCAACCGGCCTTTCTGCAAGGAGACAAGGAGAACACAGAGGTGGAGGGTCGTGGGGAAATCTTCCAACCCCACAGGTCTTCACAGATTGCAGGTGAGACACAGCCTCCATGGCACGTGTGTCAATGACACTAGCAGACCAACATGGACCCAGCATACAGCAAAAATGAGCACTAAAAGGGTCTGGTGAGACTGGACACCAGTTCTTGGGAAAGTGCAAGATGGTGAGGATGAGAGCAAAGAGGGATTCGGCCCATTTCAGAAAGCTAACCCAGCACGGGCTACTTGTGGATCTCTTTTGGTCTGTGTCTCTGGATCCTCAAATGGATCCCACCCAGTCTGGGCAGTCCTTGGCCACCCACACTTGTGTTCCAGCTGGTATTACCTTTGTCGCTTGTCGGGATTTCTCAGCCTTGCCATCACTGCTGGAGGTGCTGACACCACCGGGGGAAGCTCGGCCCCGTGACCTGAGCTCCTCTCGGGGCCCCGGAGTCTCTTTCTTCCGTCCACTCCGCATTGACATCTAAGAGAGGGATCACTGTGTCAGTCCTGCTTTGCACCTCCCACTGCCCCTGCTCTGTGCCCAGCCTCCCAAAGCCCCTGAACCCCTTGCACTCCACTGTGCCAAACTCATGGCCACTACCTCTGCAGGGAGCCTCAGTTCCAACCCACATCTCCAGCCTGGCTCTCGTGTCCCGTCCCCCTGTCCCACCCCACATACTGAGTCCTTGTTCTGTCGTGTCTTCATTCTTTTGGGTGTGGGACCCCCATTCTCCTTGGCCCGGTTTGATGAAAACATAAATTTTTATGACTCCACAACCCCCTTCGGCTGTTTCCGAGGAGATGGAGATGGGCAGCTCTTCTGGAAGGGGGAATTACACCAGCCAGGCAATGAGATCCCTCTGGATCCTGAAAGGCAGACAAGCAGATGAGGGGGGAGACAGATTGAGTGAACTATAGAACACTCTTTCATGGTTTGCTATAGAAATATGACAAAATTATTATTGTTTCCATATTTAGAGACTCGAGTCTATTCACCAAGAATGCAATAAACTCTCCCATCAGTGTGGGAAAAGATTTGCCCACTGCCATATTCAATTTCCAGTTTCTAGGAGTGATATGTGCACGATGCGAGGTATTCATTTTTAATGGCTTCAAACTGAAAGAAGGCAGATTTAAATTAGATTCTAGGAAGAAACTCTTTTACTCTGAGAGTGATGAGGCACTGGAACAGGTTGCCTCAGGGATCCCCCTGCCCTGGCAGTGTTCAAGGCCAGTCTGGATGGGGTTTTGAATAACCTGCTCTTGTGGAAGATGCCCCTGTCCATGGCAGGGATGTTGGGAGTAGATGATCTTTAAGGCTCCTCTTAATCCAAGCCATTCTGTGATTATCTCATTCTATGATTTGGGGCCGAATAATGCTGCTTTGGAGGATGCAAGAAAGAACAGTTATCATGATGTTATCTGTCTTCCAGAATAATGTTAGTATTTTCCTTTCCTTGGGCAAAAAATAACAGGAAAGTGTTTTGATATGTTCCAAATTACAATTTTTCTGACTTTGTTAGGTCATCTTCACTCTTGTTGTCAGTGCAGAAAGTTCCAAAGTTCCACCACCCTTACCTGGCCATGTGCTGCCATCTGCTAGCCCTGTGTCATCTGTCATTCAGCAAAGTGGCCTTTGCTGAAGGGCACTGTACAGCCCTGCCCTCTCCAGAGCACATCCACATGCACTCATGCACCACCACGTTATGCAGGAAATGTGACAAGTCTTGCTCGGGCTGTTCCATGCCCGAGGTACACAAATAGGTGCGAGAAAACACATTTAGCTCTGCTTTTACTCGACACCATCACCAGCTCTGTTTAGCCTGGCGTGCCTGCCAGGGTCTCCTCCTCCTCAACACTTGATGTTTCTGTGTACCAGACCGAGTCACACTGAGGGATGCAGAGTACATCCTTACACTTTGCAGCAGCAGGAAGATTTCTGAGACCCCTCCAGAACAATTTACAGCTTTGTGCCATGTCCAAAAGCATTTTATTGTAGAATTTAACACCCTGTTGTATCACACAGTTCCTACCCTGGATATGAAAGTACCATGTTTGTGTTAGTCTGGGAACCGGAGGAAATTATTCAGGGATACTGCTCCTGAGGTTAGCCTGCTTGAATCCAGCAAGCTAAAGACCTTTTGCACTGCTCTGCACTGCACACACATAACCAAAAAGACTTTATCCTTCCCAAGCCTGTCATCTGAGTTGCTATACTCAGCCTCTGGAGTGGACAATCTGAAAAACAAGGGAATGTGTCCAATGGAAGAGGCACCAGCAGAAAAAAGCCACAACTACTGGGTTTTATTCTCTCATCTGGAAGCACAGAGGAATTTTGTGAATAAGAAGCCTATGGATTTGGGGCTCCTGAAGACCATCCCACACCTGGAAAAATCACCTTCCAGCCAAGCAGTGCAGGAGCAATCTGGATGACTTCTATTCCTCTGAGAAGGGAACTGAAAACAGGGATCAGAGCAAAAGCACCTGACAGGAGAACTCTCAGATGTCCTGTGCAGCCCTGTGTGGCCCCAGGGTCACTGCTTTCCACTGCCTTCATCTGCCTGACCATGAAATGGGAGTAATGACACTGGCCTGTCTCTCCTGGGGCTCCACATCTTCCCTGACCAACGCTTACAGAAACCCATCCGGAAGGTACTTAGGAAAATCAGGGGATTGTTTGTTTTAATTCCATTAATATTTTATTTGACCTTCATCACAAGAGCCCCAGGGGGACTCATCCAGCATTAATTCCCACACACATCAATTCATTAACTGAGACCTCTTCTTTAATAGGAAAATAGCTGATGGTGGTTTGTAACTGACCTAATGGAGGCAGAGCCCACTCCCAATCCCCACACGCTGACTTGTTTTACAGGCTCATGTTTCTGTCATGCTTTGGCCTCTGGTTGCTAATTCAGCCAGTTACACTGATGCTGTTTCAGATAAGCATCCAGTATCAACAATTCTTATGTAAAACAAACGACTGTCATACCTAAGGTGATCCTAACTTAACTCAACTTTGACTCATGCCTTGGTGGCAGCCTGCAAGCATTAGGTCAGTCTGAAGGCACAGCAGCAGCAGCAGCAGGCTACCAGTGTCACTGCTCCCTGCATTCCACAGGGATGCCACCCACGCCTCCCACACCAAAGCCAGAGTGATAATGCAGCACTCGGGTCTCACTTCAGCTTTCCAGCAACCCTGGAATGACAATTACCATCCTCTTCCCAGAGAAGTCAGTCAGCAGGGAAATAACATGCAGCCAACCACACGAAACTTCCCTTTTTCAAAGGGATACCCACTCCATACTTATTCCAACCGCTGAATATGCAGTAAGAAACAAAGCCAGAAACAAGCAGTGGTATTTCAAGAGACATAATCAACCACTGACTGAGGCAGAAGTTTCTGTCACATAGACAGTGAAGACTTTACTAAAATATGTAAGAGAACTGATGCACACATTATTAGTATAGCAGTATAGCAACTGTTATGGCCAGATGAGAGGATCACAAATCTATCTTCTAATTTTAACATCTATGAAATTAAAGCCTGCAATGCGAGCCTGTACAACTAGTAAGTTACACCTCACCCCTCCCATCACTGAAGATCCCTGCAATGTCTCTGAAGGGTTCTTAGGGCTCCATGGTTTTGGTTAGGAGGTGAGACGTGACAGGCCTGCTGTGGAAGGGTTAACCTTTCCCTGGCCCTGTGAAGCCCTTCACAGGTTCAACTAAGTTATGAGGCATTGCAAATTGCAATTTTCTATTTGTGTTTCATACAGCCCAGCTTGGCTTGGCTTATTGCCCAAACCCCTCCATATTCTCCTGCAAGCCCTGGTGAAGTCTCCTGCGAGCAACACACACTCAACAGGCATCCCCCACGTGGCATTCAAAATGGATCCTGCTCCTCCTCCTCCTCAGCTCCAAGTAATTCTCCTTCCCAAAGCCTGGGCCGTCCTGCACCACCAGCCACAAGCATACGAGGTTCAGCTTTTCTTTTGTTGAAGGACACAGATGGGTTCTCTCCTTCCCGGGCTGTCATGTGGAGCAATTCTTCCAGGTAACCATACTGGAAACAAGTCCATCTCAAATGAGAAGCACTCAGGTTTTACCTCGTAAAAGCAGGCTGAATGTTTGTCCTTGGCTCAGGAGAGCATTTACACATTAGGCTGTGGCTTTGAGGAAATAAACTTTCCTGGACTGCGACAGAAACAGAGGAAATGGGAACCAAGTTTCTGGGGTGGTATTTGAGGGCTTGGCCAGAAGTGTAAATGACAAACCAAAGCTCTGCACATGCTGGGGCTGCACCCATCACATCTCCAGCAGCCAGGACACGTTTCCACCGAGACCAGGAAGACAGGGAGATGCTGCCAGAGCCATGAAGGGTTTTCACACTTCAGCAGGTGCTCAGTGGCAGAGCAAGCCCCAGGATGCACAGCCCAAGTCCAGGGCTCCAGCCTGCTTGAGAAGATCAAACACCAGCCAAGGTTCAGCTAGCCCTCTCTGAGGCCAGTGCCAGCAGAAGGGAGAGATGAAGGCTCATGCATCAGTGTCATTTAAGAAAAAGAGCTAACATTATCCCTTTTTTAGTTTATTTACTACAGACTAAGCCAGCTTCCACTAGATGCTAGTCCATGCAAGTAGATGCTAGTCCATGGAAGTTTGGAGCAAGGAGTCAGTGGAATGCCTGCTTTAACCTAAGTTCAGATGTTCTGAAGTGCAAACCTCTTGTCTTCTTCATCTGGGAATTGTTTAAAGTACACAGTGACTACTCTTTAAGTCATTTTCTGAAATGTAGGAATCACATCCAAAATCCTATGTGAAATCCAAGGTATTTGGTATGCAAAGGCAGGGATTCAGAAGTTGGATGTGAGAATTAAACTGAGTCTGCTTCTCTGCAATTCAATAGCTCTCTGTTCCCATCCTGTTTTTTCTCTTCCCACTTCTACAAAGAGATGGACTAGCACTGGAGGGAGGAACCAGGGTGGCAAAACGACCACAGCTGCTTTTTAACACATTGCAGATGCTGAAAAGTGTCCTGAAAATAAGCTGGAATGTTAACTGATGGATCCTTCTTGATGGGTAAAGATCACTAAGAAGAAGAGTAGTATGTGTGTATATATATATATGACTGCTCAATGAATGATGGAATGATAGTCCCAAATATTTTTAACTCCTGTCTCAATCTGCCTCATTTTGTAAAATGAAGGGAATTTTTCCAGAAACGTAATCAGTTTTAATGATTGTACACAATCTTGAAAACATTAAGTTTTGTCCCAGACACTACAATCAGACAAGATGAAGTACAGCATTTCCCAATGGCTAATTACCTGATTTCATGCTTGAACCCTGGCATTTCACTATGGGGCATGATGGAGAAAGAGAGGGAAGGAAGAGGAAGGGCACCATGTTCAGTGTTGGACAGCAACGAGAAAACAGGCCAGGGTTAAGGTTGCACGTCACCATCTTTTGATACATACCTGTAGCACGACATTACTGTAAAAGAGAAAATTACTCTGTGAGCAAAGGGATTAGGGTGCCAAAGTGGTTGAATACCAAGATGGCAAACATTTGTGGCCAATATTATCCTGGGTGTGAATATTGCCATGACTGGCAAATCTATATTCAGTAAATCTTGTTAAGAATAAATACACGAAGGTATACAAATGAAAGGTAGTTTTCAAACAAAGGCATTTTCCTATCTCCTACAAAGTAACTACAACACTGGGTGGATGCAGGGGCTGTGAACGCAGGCTGGGAAGTGAATTAATCAAAGAACAGGACTCCTGCAGGGCACTCTCATGCAGCTCACTGCACCCAGAGACCCCAGGATCAGAGCACACGCCTCCCAGTCCTCTGCAGAGCCCTCCACAAGGGCTGGGACAGGCACATCCAACCTCCAGCAGCCATCAGGCACGGGCAGGAAGGGCTGAGATCTGCCCTGCCAGCCAGGTTTGGCAGCTCAGTGTTATGTGGCAAACTCAGGCAGAAACACCTACAACACAAGTGCAAACTCTGACTACTGCTCAAGAGGTCAAAATATAAATCCAGTATGAAAATAGTGACAGCTGTCAATTTTTGTTATTTTCCATAAAGACACAGATTTCATACTGGCAGTGTACTGGAATTTCACTGGATTCTTCTGTCTTCAAAATATAATAGCATAGAATGGGTCGCTATGTGATGTGTTAAAATAAATATTAACAATAAATGTAAATGTATGCTTTCAGAAACTCCACTCTGTGCCAGAGGGTGAATCACACACACTTTTAATACACAAGCTGAATGGACTCTCTCGATTTACATCTATCTATCTATGTAAGAGCTGATTCACAATCCCATCCTAAAAAGTCAGGTTTGAGATCACCTGAGGAAACTGAACATGAACAATTCCATGGGACCCAATGAGATGCATCCCAGGGTCTTGAGGGAGCTGGCTGACATAGTTGCCAAGCCAGTCTCCATCATATTTGATAACTGGATGGATGGCTCCATCCAGAGTTACAGTCCACAGTTGAATGTCAAACTGGAAACCTTGAACCAGTGGTGTCCCCCAAGGATCTGCGACCAATATATTTAATATCCTCATCAATGACACAGATGGTGGGATAGAGTGCACTCTCTGCAAGCTTTCAGATGACACCAAGTCAAGTGGTTGATAGGCTAAAGGAAAGAGATGCCATTCAGAGGGACCTTGACAGGATTGAGGAGTGGAAGCATGTGACACTCATGAAATTCAACAAGGTGAAGTGCAGGTCCTGCACATGGGTCAAGGCAATCACCAGGATCAGTATAGACTGGGGAATGAAGAGGCTGAGAGCAGCCCTGTGGCAAAAATCTTCCAATAGAGGTGGACAAAAAATGTCCTAAGCTGCATCAAAAACAGCACTGGCAGCAGGGTGAGGGAGAGAATTCTGCCCCTTTGCTCTGCCCTGGCAAGACCCCAGCTGGAGTGCTGCAGCCAGCTCTGGGGTCTCCAGCACAGCAAGGACAGGGATTTGGGACAATTCCCTGAAAGGAGGGGGTAGCCAGGTGGGGATCAGCCTCTTCTCCCAGGCAACAAGTAATGGGACGAGAGGAAATGGCCTCAAGCTGTGCCAGGTGAGGTTCAGGCTGGACATCAGGAAGCATTTCTTTATTGAAGGGGTGGTGAGGCCTTGGAATGGGCTGCCCAGGGCAACAGTGGAATGTGTTCAGGAAATGACCAGACATGGCACTCAGTGCTATGGCTTAGTTGACAAGGTGATGTTTGGCCAATGGTTGGACTCGATGATCATGGAAGTCTTTTCCAACCTTAATGGTTCTGTGGTTCTGAGATTCTAAGCATGAAAAGGTGGCTTATAAGAAAGGTAGAGTGACAATTTTTACCAGAGCCTGCAGTGACAGGACAAGGGGCAATGGCTTTAAACTGAAAGAGGGCAGGTTTAAATTGAATATGAGGAAGAAACTCTTTTCTATGAGGGTGGTGAGACACAGGAACAGGTTTCCCAGAGAAGCTGTGGATGTTCCAACTCTGTAAGTGTTCAAGGCCAAGTTGCAAGGGACCAGGAACAACCTGGTCCAGTGGAAGGTGTCCTTGCCCATGGCAGGAGGGATGGAACTGGATGATGTTTAAGGCCCCTTTCAATCCACACCAGTCCGTCATTGTATAAAATATCCTAAAATTATTTTTAAATAACACCTCCCATGCAAAACAAAAAGATTCATCTTGAGGCAACAGCTTCAATCCTTCTTAAAGGTACTTGTTGGCAAATTCACTTGTCAGGCTACCTATGTGCTCTTTCTCTGCAGTAAAATAATAAATAAAAATTAAAATGCTCATGCTTCAGGAAAGGGTGCCAAATAAGAATACTAAAAATAACTGTGCAGAGCACTGGCAGTCTTAGGAGATAAAGCTAGTTTACATTTTATTAAGCCTATATTAATGTTTTGTTTTCTTAATTTTGCACAACCATGAGGAGCAAGAATGTTATTTTGAGTATGAAAACTAATTCTGGAATCTCCATTCAAATAAAATGTATCTGTTAAAAAAAAATTACGATTAACAGACTGAAATAACAGAGCTAAAGCAAGGTAATAAATAATAAAAATATTCATACATTTAACAATAGCTTAATTTACAGCATAGAAGAAGATATTAATTTTTGCAAAAGCAACTGAAAATAAAGTTTGATTCACTAAATGAAGGTTAGATGTACTAAAGAAGGTTATGTTAATCGTAAAACAATTCCTGAGGGCACAGTAAAATGACTGTTAAGTATGTAACAGATTTACTTAAAAATCCCAGCAGAATCATTCTGTCTCCCCAGAGGAGGGCTTCCAGATCTCTCAGAGATACAGGCTGGCAGAGCCCAGTGCTGGATCAGGAAAAAAACCACACTGGGCTCTGCCTTCTGCAAGTGGGATGGAGCCTAGAGATGCATGCTCCAGAGGAAGGACACATCACATTCCCCACACTCACTATTTTATGAAGTGCAGCATCTTCTATATTTGCAGCACCTGAGCACACCTTACCTGTGGAGCTGTTAGGGGCCTGTTAGGGTCTGTGTAACACCTCACAGCCCTCTTCTGATACACAGAGGTCCCTTTGCTAAGAATGCAAAGCAAATTACTCAGAGACATCACAGGATGGTTGCCCAGAGACTCAAAGGAGGATGCCAGAGCTGGAAGGGACATCCAGACTCTGAGCTGACCAGTGCAACTCACAGTGATGCCCTTTGGATATCAAGTGATATAAAGTGATACCCTTTGGACATAAGAGGTGGATCCATGAAATGGCACCTTGACATCCAGCAGCCATCGAGAAAGCAAACTGCATGTTAGAATTTCCTGAGGAGAACATCATTATGCCCCCACACAAACCTGTGGCTTTCCCACATCTTGAAATGTCTGTGCAATTCTGCTTCTTCCATAGGAACCAGAAGGGGCAAGGAAGAGGCACAACTGAGTGGGTTAGACATCTCTGTCCAGAGAAAAGGTTACTGAAGTGAGGACGTGACTGGGGACCTAAAGCCATATATAAAAATTAGAGGTTAGGTAGGAAATATTTTTTTCCTGTCGTTTCCAGTACAAATTTGATGACCCTCAAACAACACTACAAAGAAACATGTTCAAAAACAGCTAAAAAGAGTAGTTCTTCAAACAAGTAGCTACAGAATTTCCAATTAAAGGACACCATGGGTGCTAGAAGGTTCTATGTGTTTGATGGGAGACTGGAGAGTTTCATTCAAGAGAGAATCACTGGCACTTTCTGGATAGCTAGAAACAGCTGGAAGCTGTAGGAGTATCAGAGGAAAATGGCACAGGATTGGATTGGACTAGATTAGATAAGATTAGAAAATTACATTATTAGATTAATGGTTGGACTCAATGATCCCAGAGGTCTTTTCCAAACTAAAGATTCCATGACTTTGCAGCCACTGACCCAAGGGACACCCTTTAGATTCTCTGTTTGCAGGGATTCATGACTGACAGCAAAGACAACACGAGAGCCACGCGTGCCAAGGGCAAGCATGTCAACAGGATGAAGATGGACAGACACATCCAGAAGGAAAGAAGTGAACTAGGGACAGGGAAATGGCCAGAGAAACAGCAGTACAGCAGATATGAGTCACTGGTAAACTTCGAGTCACTCCCAGGCTTGGGATCCCACAGCTTCTCCTTGGTCTACTGGCCAAGGACCGGCCAAGTGGGATGATCCTGCCCTCATCCCTCATCTCTCATCCCAGAAGTCTGAAAAGACTTCTAAGAAGGCTTTTCTGCAATGAATGAAATTCACCAGTGCACAGAGAAAGGAATATTTTTCAGGAGCAGGAAAAGAGAGGTGATTTTCACCTGAATGTACCCAGGATTGGTAAGGCAATTATGGGAGTAGCGCATGCCATTTTTACCTGTGTACTCCAAAAAGGATGCTGACAAATTGAGAAATGTGATTAACTCCTCCCCCTTATAACCTTAAGCTAAATAAGTATAGCTTACTTCAGAAAATGTTAAAAGACTTGAAGATGGCCTATGAGCACTACAAAGGAAGATTTCTGACAGCTCTTTAACCTACAGAGACCCCCATATCCAATGGATAAACCCAGACAAATCGAACAGAGGAATGGTGCAAAATTTGAAAAGCAGGAGAAATTATTCACTTGAAAAACTTGCATAGGAATGCAAGTAGCGTATCACTGAAATTTTTAAGGGTTTTCTTTTATTTTATTGTAAAATAAATGCTCTTTATATTTTCTGCACAGACCATCCAGTTGATGAGAACAGGTTTTTCAATACTAAACTCATTAGTAGTCATAGAATTTGGCCAAAAGGTGATGGGTTCTAGCTAGCTCTGGTGAAAATGGACTTTGAAGGCAATGGTCTAGCAATGTATTAGGAAAGCCTGATGGATAACCATGACTGGATAAACCATTCTTCATGGAGGGTGGGCCCTCTTTATGTGTCTGGCAAACCCTGAATAATTCTGAGGTAAATCACTTCATCTGTTGCACTGCCTGAAAGAAAAAAACAGCAGTATATCCAAAATATTGTGCTATAGATACACTTTATATCCAATACACTCTGCTATATATATCAATATAAAATTTAATAACTATATAACATTATATTTTATACAAGATATATTATATTATACAAACTACCATATATATTGTGATATACACACACACATAAATATATATATACACATAAAGTAAATCCAATTCACTATCCAAACAGAAGAAGGTTGCTCAAATGCAACCTTCACTTAAGTGATCTATAGTGCAGAAAGACCTTGTGTAAGAAACAAGCTATCACCAAGTGCACTGTACAGCAGGCAAGTACGAGACTAAAATTTTCCAGCTAAACTCTCTGTGATGAAGAATGTCACCAGGGCAAGAGACATGAAGCAAGATTGAGAGCAACCAGCTCCCCTTCTTCAGCAAAGCCCAGACAGACCATCATTGGCTGAAATTGCCTGGGGAAGATATTGCAGTTAGCCTTTGGTTTGTAGGTGAAAATACTGCCACAACGATCAATCAAACATTGATATTTTTACAGGAGGAGACAACAACAAATCAGTGTTTGCTGCCACAACAGACACAGAAAACAGACAGAAACTTCTGCAGGAGGATTATCAGAGCTGGAAGCCAGGCACTGCTTCTGAAGGGACCGCTTCCTCACAAAGTTGACTTCTGTTGAACTTGGCCAAGTTATCCCCAAACATCTGAAGCCCAAACAGCCAACCAGACTGGTAGGGAGGTGAAGCTCAAGCCACTTGAAGTGGAATCATCCCCTTGTGTTTCACCATGCTCCATACACACCTCACGGACAACATGGGCTGTGGGCCCACCACTGCCCAACACGTGACTGAAGGACAGAAAGATTCTCCAGTGCTCATCTCAACGGGACAAAGAGCAGTGGGACATGCACCTGGCCAGCCTGGCCACACAGGCCTGGGCACTGCTGAGCCTCAGGAGGTCAGGGAAGGCACTGAGATGGAGCACCTCATGTCCATGTTAAACCATCCGCTGTGACCAGACTCCAGCGGGGATATCGGGAATTAGTTCTGCAGAGAATACCTACCCTAGGTGTGCTCTCTTGGTTAAGAGCATGACTTCTTCAGAGATGCCTTCTCTTTTGAACAGTCAGAACTTGTGTTGCCTTCTCCTTCAGCCTTTAAGAAGTTTGTAAAGCAATGCTATTTTGTACTTCACTAGACATAGTCTTCAAGAAGTACAGATGGAAGAGATAAAGTGATAAACACAAGAAATATATATGTCATGCTTCCAAAGCATCTCCTAATGGAGGCAGAATGAGACCAGAAAACCCAATGAAGGCAAGAAAATAGTTTATCTGTCCAAAAGACACTGGGAGAAATAAATGAACTGGGGAAGATAAAGTCTGACAGAAGAGAAAACCAGGTTCTCAAAAGAAAAGGGATTACACAAGGAGGAAAAATATAAGATGGCCTATCATTCAGGTAGGTATTTAAGGAGGGGCACAGCTGAACATGTGCACAAACCAATTCCAGAGATTGCATT